CTTGCTGCAGGCTCGCTGAGGTCAACACATTCAATTGTGAGGGGTCGGGGGCGGTGCTGGCTGGGGGGCAGGCCACCGCCGCTTTGGCTGACCTGTTTACTACATGGGCAAATCAGAAAACCAAGTGAACATGATCTCTTCTTCCTTCAGTCTCACTTGAGTCCAGTGTCGTTTTCCCAAGTTATCTTGTGAACTTGTCTGTGCGGCCACAATCTCTTCTTCCTTCAGTCTCACTTGAGTCCAGTGTGGTTTTCCCAAGTTATCTTGTGAACTTCTCTGGGCCACGTTGACGTTACTGTGACAGGGCAAGCGACTTCTGAGACTTGTTTCCACGTGCATCTGCGGAGGCCAAGCAGACGGAGCCTTAAGAGCATTAGCGTCAGTCGGTTGGGTCATACAGTTGATTCCTAACCATTGCACCGCAGGGAGTGATCCAATAGCACTTAATTGGTCCAGAAATGTGACTGTATCTTTTTTAATCTATCTCGCAATGTAGTGACAGGCAGAATAAAAAAAATGTTCTACTGCGAGAAGGCAGATGCCACATCATTCTGTTGCCATTCATCCAGTGGTACAATTGCAATGGCCTGCATTTCACACTGACCATGATGTCCCTTTTTGGAGGAAGTTGAGACAAGAGCAGCATTATTTCTGTTTGGTGTAAAGTAGCTGATTTGGCTCAGAAAAAATAAATAAATAAAACTCGGAAAAGCCTTGATGGTGATGGTGAGGAGGAAAGGTCTAAATGGTGTCGATACGAGACGCAATCCATCCGTCAAATGTCCCTTCCTGTTAGCAACTCCAGCCAGACCTGTTGCCATCACAACCATCCATCCCCGTCATCTCATTCCTTCCCACTGATCAGGATCTGAGCCAGCGCAATCTCCAAAATAGTATTTTACTTAAGGTCCTCCATTCTGCCCATAATATTGATTATTGATTCATCATTGTTAAAATTCCCCTTGAGGGATTTTAATGAGGGTTATAAACGTCAACATGACATTTGAAGAGCAAACTATATCCCTCTCCCTGAGCCTTTACCTTATCATGGAGGGTTGTGCCAATCTTTCTAAAGTTGTCAAAGGAGCTAAGCTGTCTAGGACTTGATGCCCTGACATAGGGTCACCCATGGCAAACAGGTCCTTGGTGAGGGACCAGACAAAGCACAGTCCAAAAAGAATCGTATGACGATGACAAAAATTGAATTACATTTTCACTTGCCCGAACGCAGGTCACCGCCCCCCCACTCTGGAGCCAGGCCTTGAGGGGCTTGAAGGCGAGCACCCGCTGGCCAGGAATGCACCCCTGGGGCCTGGCCGGGCACAGCCCGAAAGGATAACATGTGCCCCCATTCACATGGGCCTCGGACTCGGAGTAGCCACCCCTTTTTGGAGTCCTTGGAGGGGAAGAGCTTGAGAATGCTCCTGCTATGGATTCCATCGTCTTACTGGGGGTGGGGGGGGGGTGTCTTCAATACCCACGTGGCAATGAGAGTGAGCCCTGGGGTTCTGTTATTAAACTTCTGCTCTCATCACCCTCTAGTTTGCTTATCCAGCGGCACTGTCCTCGAATTTCACGCAATCTCATCCGAAATGCTTTTTTTTTTTTGCGCTCATTTAGCATGCCGCTGGTGAAGAGAAGCATCGAGCCGAGGCACCTGTGCCGCGGAGCGCTGCCGCACGGTGTGACCAGTGAGCTGGAATGTGTCACCAACAGCACGCTCGCCGCCATCATCAAGCAGCTGGGAGGCCTCAGTGAGTATGACGCATGTTTCCTTTTGGTCTTGTCAACAATTCTAGTCAAAAGAAAAATACAGCAACCCGTACAGATGAATTTAACTTGCCCCCTTCTGCAAATGTTTCAATTCAGTGCTAAGTGCCTTTTTTGAAACGTGCTGTGTGGCAACAAGGTGGTGAACAACCAAACTCAAAACAGGTGTTTGATCCGTGATTGGACCAATAAATAAGATAAGATAAGATAAGAAAACCTTTATTAGTCTCGCAATGGAGAAATTCCCAATTCACAGCAGCAAAGTTATGAAAGGAAGAAGTAGAACAACAAAATATAGGAGCTGCTGGAAAGGCAGGCACTCTCGCGGCGCCATTTTGAAGTCAAAATAACAAAAATAACACAACACAACACATAGGACACAAGACAGTCGTGCAAAAATGCTAATCAACATGATCCCATTTTGACATTATTGACATTATCGCAGCCAACGATCCATCAACAGGACGAGACTACAAACAGGAAGTGGACGTTTTAATGCAGCAAACTTTGTGTGGATTATTTTTGTGAAGGGATCTTACGTTGACTCTTTTCCATCAGACTCGCTGCTTTGCTTCGTAGAGTGCTGTGGAAAAAGGATTTGCCGCTTTCCTGATTTCTCTGTCTGTTTGCACATTTATCACACAGAAAGGTTTCAGTTCATCAAACTGTCAAACAGTAATATCACACAGAGACAACCCAAGGAAATGCAAAATGCAATTTCTCAATGCCAGTTTCATTTATTTTGGCACCAAAAATAATAAATAAATCCAAAACTACCTCTCCCTATGTGGAAAGGTAAACCCCGCCTCCTCTTGCTAAATCACAACTGACTATTGACAGTTTTGGGAAAGCTGAGTTCAATTTCACAGGTAACACCCTAGTACCACATTTGTTGTTGAATGAAGAAAATGCATCAATAAAATCCATCAGACAAAGTGAAATGGGCTACGAGATCTCCAGAAACAAAGGCGTCCTTCCACGATCCAACGAAAATCCAAACGCAATTCCCCGCGTGCGTGTGTGCAGGTCGCCACGCCGAGGACATTTTCGGCGAGCTCTTCAATGAAGCAAACAGCTTCTACCTGAGGATGAGCAGCCTGCAGGAACGCGTCGACCAACTGGCGGTCAAAGTCACTCAGCTCGACTCCACGGTGGAAGAAGGTGCGTGTGCGTCTACGTGTGTGTGGGCCGGTGTGTGGTCGCCATTTAAGGGGAGCGCCTCCATACAAGGTTCTATCACTTTAGATGAGTCCAAATTTTTCTTTTTTTCTCAGTTTTTCTATTCTCGGGCTGCAGTAGAAATCCTGACTTTGGTCAACGTCAATGTAATGATTCAAGTTCTGAAATGCACTTAACTCATTCAATCTCAGCTATTTTCACTGGAGCAACCCCCTCAATCCCAGCATTTTACTGGATTTTGACTGATCTTGCATGGCCCATAGAATGTTTGGTTCTGATGCTATATCAACATGGAGCCTACCAAAATAAAGTTTGGACTATTTCAGCAGAAAACACTTTTTGTTTCCATCTTTTTCCATTCTTCACCAATCGGCATTACAAAATGCCTACGTTTCATGAAAATGGCGATTCCTGTGCAAAAGCACGTGAGGCACCACTGCCACCTACTGGTCGCTTTTTGACATGATTTACAATGCAAACGGTTTATTCTCATTCACAGATTGCATCAGACCCTCCTCCTCTCTATGACGCAAAAAAAAAAAAAAAGACTTAGAGTACAAGTACGTCCTTGGTAGGCGGGGCCTAATTTAAAAAATAGTACAAGTACGCCTTGTGGAATTAAAGAGTAATGTACAAATTAATTTGGACTGTCAGATAAACCAGCTAGTGCGGGTTGCCACAGGCTTTTATGCGATCAAATTGACATGTTGGGATTGTGAAATGACAATGTTGAACAAAAAAAAAAGCACTTGACATTTTTGTGATTTTTCAGATGCAAACTTAGGAAAGGCAGTCACAGGTGGTTTTTAGGCTGCCCCAACGCATTCAGTCTTGTCGCTGACCGGATCGACGTCACAAATTTCGGAAATAACATTCCTTGTTGTTGCGCCGATCCGTATTGCCACCGAAATCCCAATCCTCTCAACCGGGCTTGTCAACTTCCATCTTTTTGATGATGCATTGTTTTCTGAAGATGTGGGAGGGCAGTAACCAGCCTGCAAAGCGGTTGCATAGGACGACACGTCTGTTTTCCAAGGTGGGGTTGTCGGAAAAAGGAATGCTGAAGTAAATTTACGAATACCTGAAATATCAATTCGAGTAGGTAGACGTGAGTGGTGGGAGCATATGTCACGTCAGTAGGTTTTAGTGTGCGTGTGTGTGTGTGTGTGTGTGTGTGTGTGTGTGTGTGTGTGTGTGTGTGTGTGTATGTGTGTGTGTGTGTGTGAATCGAGATTTAACACGGCTGCGACATTAAGGATTGCCAGATGGCTCCACACCCCCCGCACCACACACACACACACACACACACACACACACACACACACACACACACACACACACACACACGCTCAAACCTTTGCAGGTTGTGCCGCTTTTTCAGCAGCACAACGCTTGGATGTGAGTGATGCGTTGCGGGTTTTGTCGTCTTCAGTGTCCCTGCAGGACATCAACATGAGGAAGGCCTTCAAGAGCAGTACCATCCAAGACCAGCAGGTGGTGTCCAGGACGTCGGTGCCCAACCCGGTGGTGGAGATGTACCGTCGCTGTGACAAACCTCCTCCGCTCAACATCCTCAGCCCCTACAGGTCAGCGCACATCTTCGCTTTACACCGCATATTTGTTCGTGCTGAGAATGAGCAGTGTTTCTCTCTCTCTTCACAGAGACGACAAGAAGGACGCGCTCAAGTTCTACACGGACTCGTCCTACTTCTTCAACTTGTGGAAGGAGAAGATGCTGCAGGCCACCGAGGACAAGCGCAAGGAGAAGAGGCGGCAGAAAGTGAGCGCCCGCCCGCCGGCCGCCCGGCTAGCCGCCTGCCCCAACTTGCGTGCATCCGCGTTTGATTGGATAGTGTGCTCGTTCTTTTGCTTTTCTGCTGCTCTCGTTCGTGGCAGAAGTTGGTCAGGCGCTGACCAAAGCGCCAGATGGCCCTCGTTGCGCGCTTGCTTCCTGAAAGGTGCCGGCGTGAGTCATCTGAATTCTCATTGGACCTCAGCCAGTCCTGACCAGCTTCTGCTGGAAGCCTTTGCTCACGTTTGTCCACATTTCATTTTCTCATGTCCCCGCTGGCATTCGCTCTTTTCGGCAATCCGCAGCGCAAGCTGGCCTTGCCCTGCCTTCCTCCTTTCAGCCCTTCCTCCTCCTCCTCCTCCTCCTCCTCCTCCGTCTTCTCAGTCTAACGCAGCAGCTTGTGTCTCCCGTGTTTCCATAGGGCTGTCCGGCCCATCCAGACAGGTCCCACTCCAGACAGGCCCCACCCAGGAGCCCCCTGTCCATCTCTGTAAGACAACCCTGAGCCCTGACCTCTCCCTCTTATGCCCCCTTACCCTGCCAACACACCCATACACACACACACACACAACCACACACGTCACTGAGGATCTATGTTGCAAGCACACACACACTCATCATGCTTGTGTTTTGTGTCTTATTGATTTGCATTTTGTTAAGTCTTCCGCGTGCATGCGTGTGTGCGCGCGCGTGTGTTGTAGACCTGGCGACAGGGCCCTCTTTCACCTTTCAAAGTCCAGCACACGTAATCAAGTGTCTGCGTTGTCTTTGAAGCAGGAGCAGCAGAGGCAGGTGGACGACCCAGGCCGAGAAGTGAAAAAGGTCAGTGAGGACGGGAGCTCTGACCTCGCGACACCCTTGCACGTGTAGGAGGATGCGTTGCCAGGAGGACCGCACATCATTTTCTTTCACTTCTTTCTCTCCAAGGTGCGCAAGGCTCGTAACCGGCGCCAGGAGTGGAATGTGCTGGCCTACGACAAGGAGTTCCGACCCGATGCCAGGCTCACGCCCTCCCCTTACCATGGCACGTCCCCCGAGGGCTCCTTGTCACCTGATAGCAGGTACGCCGCCAACATGCCGCCCGAATGATCTTTTTTTTGCTCCGCTGCCCATAACTGACGTCCCTCCCTGTCAGGTCCGCGGCCTCCGACTCGTACCCCGCCAGTCCCAGCCACCCCTCGACCCAGGCCTCCGCCACAGACCGCCACAACAGGGACCACTCGGGTGCGGCCGCCCAGACCCAGTCTCTGGATCGGGGGCTCAGGCCGGCCAACCAGCCAGCAGGAGGGGCGGGGGTGGCCGGGCGCCACGCCGCCTCCCTGGGCCGGACCCCATCGGGTCAGGCGAGCCAGGCCGCCGGCGATCTGACTGTCAACGGGCCCAGGCAACCGCCGCTCAAGGACTACCGCACCGGCCACGGGTACGTCCGCTTGCCGCTCGTCCCAAGTCCGTGCCTGACGTCTGACCTCCGTAATGCTTTTGTGTTCCCACAGCGGCGGCCAGCCCTCCACGATTCCAGAGTACTACATCCCGCCGGCGCCCCCGCCGCCTCCCCCGACCATCCCCTCCGCTCAGACCGCCTTCGACCACACACCGGGCCCGCCCTGCGGCGCCGCCTCGGCCGTGCTCCCCGCCTCCTCTGCCCTCTCCCGTCCCTACTCGCCCTCCCCTCCTCCGCCCCCCGTCAACTATGTCCCTTCTCCCGCCCACCCTCCATCCGGGGCGCCACCAGCCGCTCCGCCGCCCCCTCCGCCCGGTGGTTCCATGGGTCACCAGGCGCACCCCTCGCCAACGCGCACCGCTGTGGGTCAGGCGGCGACGAATGCCGCGCCCTCCGCCAGGAAGGGCGCCGTGCTGGGTATGATCCCAATGAGCGACGCCCGCTCCGACCTGCTGGCTGCCATCCGAAGAGGTGGGTCTACTTCACAGAGGCCGGAGTCCTTTTGGCTTTTCCCTCAGAGCGCACGTCACCTCATTAAATTATTACTGTCATTCTCTGATCAAATTGAAGAAAAATTTTTGTTGAATTCATGTGGAGGGGATTTGGAGAAAACAAATGGTTGTAAGAGATGTTAAAAGTGTAGAAAATGTGCAATTTTGGTCTGGAAAGCCATTAAGAGTCGACACACTTGACTGATTTTGGCGATGGGGGGCCGTTTCTTGTCTGGAGTTGGACATGTGGCGTGCTAATGGTTTTGTTCTTCCAGGTATCCAGCTGAGGAAGGTGCAGGAGCAGAGGGAGCAGGAGGCCAAGCGCGAGCCGGTCGGCAACGATGTGGCCACCATCTTGTCTCGACGCATCGCCGTGGAGTACAGCGAGTCCGACGACGACTCCGAGCTGGATGAGAACGAGTGGTCCGACTAAAAATCCGTTTTGCTTCAGTGAGGCGCCGCGCACGTTGTCGACAGGTTTTCTCCTTTAAATACCAACTGTTGAAAAGTTTGAGGTCATGTTTTGCGGGGGCGGGGGTGATGAAAAGCACTTTGTTTTCTTCAATGCAGATAATATTAAATAGAGTGGGCCCCAGCACACCTGTGGTTTGCCACCCGAGGATTCACATATCGGTCGATTTATCTGTTTTTTTTTGTTTTTTTTTTGGGGGGGCGGGCGGGGTTTCCCCCAATGTATCTAAATGGGTGACAATTGTACGCTGATTGTCGCCAGGCTCATATCAGTGCTTTTCTTTTCAAAAATAATTTCTTGTTCCCCAGACTCCAAAATGCTTTCTCTTTTACAACAGTTTGTTTTCAGGGAAATCATGAAATTGTCCGGGTGGCCCCAAACTTTTGAACAGTGTATATTATATTATTCTTATTATTATTATTATGATTGAACACACCTTATGGAAATGAGAAACGTGGGTTGCCCCTGACAACACCCATCTTCCCAACAAAACAAATATTTTGCCGTCCATCCAGCTTGGAATTGACAGCACGGTTGCAGGTGTTTGCACGTCAGCAAAAGGCACAGTAACCCCATGTGAGCACTTTTCCATTTACACTTAACTATTCACCAAGTGTACAGCGCCTGTCACGTGAAGCCAGTCACGTGTGTATCGACGCATTCTGACGTTTGTTGACGTTGCAAAGCGGCGACTTACCGACGGCAATTGGCCAATTCTATTGGCTGTCTCACCGCCATCCGTTTTGACTCCTCGTTTACTTGGGAGCCCCCTGGCGGTGGGAAAGTATTACAGTAAAACAACGTGAACATTTGTACAGTGCATTTGTTGTAAGTTGTTTTGTCTTTTCTGTTGTTCGAAATAACAAGTTGAATTAAGTTCAAGCGAGCAGTCGTGTTATTGTGAATTGAAAGCGGTAAAAAAAAATGCGTTTTTGATTTAAAGTGACCAAGATTTCAAAAAAAAGCTCCCAAAGTCTCTACGGGTGTCAACGAGTGATGACGTCACTGACGAATCCATCCTTTCGCCACCGCGAGAGCGAGCTCGGATCGAACTTCAAATTGCCTAAGTAACTTTTTGGTCTCTCGTACTCAATCCAAAGCTGTGAGCGTTTGCGGGACTTGTAAAGGCTTCGACACTCGACGGGGCACACGCTCGAACCAATATGAGCATTGTGGAGGCTCGGTTGTCTGCACTCTCACCACATATGCGGCATTTTTTAGTAAACGGCGTCATCACTTCGCTCTCGCTTGACTGCTGTGTTGAAATGTGCTGCTGTGAGTCATCTGCTTTGATTGACTGTAGTATTATTTCATACTTTATTTTTAGGCCAAGACTGAAAACATTGTGCATTGTAAAACAGTGAAATCATTGATGGATTTGCTTCTTTTAAACTGCAAATGTGATAATAGGTTCCTGTTAAATAAACGGAAGACGCACAGTTCTTGAAAAGGACTCGACTTAAAGATGTGTGGAATTAAATGGACTGTTGAGTGATACTCTTTGAGCTAAATAGTTCGATGGCTGTATTGCCGAGAAAAGGTTTGACGGGCTAGTCAAGTTTTCAGCCTTGTCGCTGTGGGTTGACATCTGGGAGATGCTGCAGTAAGATTATTCTTAATCATTGAGAAATTTGCTGTAAGCAAGTATGCATGCAACTATAGACAATAAATACTCAACTTGATGTCTTCATTCTGTGCATTGTTTTTACTGTCCCCCCACTCCGCAACTTGAAATAGTCTTGAAAACTGCAAAACTAGGTCAATCCAATCAAACCAATTCAATCTGCCATTGAAGCATTTGCTGATCAGATGAATTACACACATTGAATGTTTCTTTCTATTAATTGACTTGCAACTTGCATGTTGAGTATGAAAAGCTCTCCCCAGCAATCAGTCGTTATTCATCCCTGGTAAGGGTGTTAAAGAGCGGGGCTCCTCACATGATGCACACGTGTGTGTCCCATCAGTGACGTGCTGGGAAAAAAATAGGCCAGAGAATCGTCGTCGACGAGGTGTTTGTAAGAGAGGGGGTGGGGGTCGGTGGGCATAATGCCCAGGACCAGCCTGGAAATACACCGGCCATTCAGAAAAATTAACATATTTTCCCCAAATCCCCCATTGTCACCCTGCCCCTTGGTGTCCATCATGTTCACGTGACGTGGTTGCGAAATGAGCCCCTTGGATGGCCCTCAAGGGAGGAGGGACATTTTAATTGCCAAGCGCCCCCTAAGAAATAATCTGAGCCAATAATAACTGCACTGTTCTTAGTCTGTGCACACTAGATCATAAGTAACATTAAATATAACACAACAAACCAAAGTTTATCTATCTACATTTCCTGAAGTCTTTATGATAGTTTTCTATTGGCCGGTTTACTCCAACAGTGTAATGCACAGGTGTCAAACTCAAGGCAGAGGGGCCAGATCCAGCCCGCTGCATCATTTTATGTGGCCCATGAAAGCAAATTCTGTGTTTTGCTCCAATACCAAAATTGCAATTGTCTTCACTTTTAAAAACATTGAGATTTTGTAAGCATTTCTCGTTTCCAATCAATCACCCTTTAAAAATAAACATTTGAACAGTTTGTGCTAGCCTCTGATTACAAAAGTAGTTATTCATCAATTTTTTTTTTTTGTGTGTGTAGCCTATATGAAGCAATCGTACATTTATTTGGGTTCCCGGTCATAACAGCCCTCCAAAGGAAGCCATCTCTATGATGCAGCCAGTGACTAAAAGTTTGACACCCTTCTTATATTGATATCCAGAAATTATGGCTTTTCGTTTTGTTGTGCCACCCCAAGATTTCAAATGTCCCCATCTGGTCACTCCAATGAAAAACCTTTGGAAACGCCACTGTATAGCAACCTTGACTTTTAATTTGCGTGTGTGAGTGTGTGTGTGTGTGTGTGTGTGTGTCTGGTGGTGGGGGGTGAGATGAGCCGAGCTCTTCGCCGCCGCCACCGTGACGTAGGGAGTCCAAGGCGTGTCATCACAAAACCGCCTCTGACCGCGCGGGGGCGCTCTTCGCCCATGTCTGCCAGCCCGTTCGCACGTTTCACCTGCCGCGTCATGAATGAATGTGGGCGTTTTGAATTCCGTGTACGTCGCCTCCCAGTCGTGTGATGGATGGCTTGCTCGGTGACGCCAGAAATAAGAAACACTCACCATCTTGACTTGTTTTTATTTCCCTTTTTTTACCGTTTCCATTTCGGGTTTTACAGTCAGATATTTGTTTCCCTTGTTTTAGTTATGTACATTAATAAAAATAAATGTTTCTCTCGGAGGTTCTACATTCGACATACAAGTAACAATTGTGTCCCTCATATAAAGTGCGTTTTTTTTTCATCCTGATGCTGTTTAAATGCACACACGCTCTCTCTCTCTCTCTCTCTCTCTCTCTCTCTCTCTCTCTCTCTCCCTCTTTCATACGCACACACAACAACATAAACAACCAAATATTTGTCAATGAAGGCCATACTCGTTCCAAATACTAGCTCTGACATGGTTTATTGTCTAATTTTTTTTTTCTTGGTTGATCCTGCATCTAGGACTTCCTGAATTGCCCGATCGGCTCAGCAACTTCTTGCCCTGGTGCCCTGAACCTCAATTTTTGGAAAGCCTTGTGTGAATGCAAAGAACTCTGGAATGGGAGTAAACGAGGATGAAATGTGGGTGACATTCAGTGCGTAAATAAAAAAATTTAAAAAAGCGCTCAAGCAGAGCAAGCAATGGATGGCACCGAGGTCAATTCCCTTTTTTTTTCTTTCGTCTGACAGACACATACAAATCAAAATAGGACATCAGAAAGGTGGAAAATATGGCCCTTTTTTTCCTGACACATCATTTGTTCCACAATCAAAAAGGAAAAAAAAAAAGGCCCAACGTGAACAGGCACAGCAGTCAACGTGTCCCCAAAGTCGTGCCCTGAACAAACATTACAAAAATAGACATTTCTGTACAGCATTGCATAAGAAAAATAACACACTTATAGTCGTTTAGATCAGAAAGCCAACTCCCTAAACCCGTAGTGTGTGCGCCCGTGTTTATATTTGGTAATGGGGATACTTCATTCCAATCGGCTTTGTGAGTACACACACGCACACACAGTGAGCGGTCGCTCCATTCCTACTCCCAGGAATGCTCGATGGAGTAGTTTCATCTTCATAGATGACAGAGATTCACGCTACACCCAGCAAATGAGATGTTATGTGACGTGCGATGCCTTTGTGCATGTGATGAAAGTGCGAGTACGTTTTGACACTATTTTTGGGCGGAGACTTTTTTTATTTTATTTTTTTGTAGCTAATGCAACATTTCATTCGTCACTGTGGTGTCAAGCTATCCTGAACAATCATGATTAGGACAGATGGCCACGGGCAACAGTGCCTCATGTGCAAACTGCAATTGGCTTTTTTAAGACTCATTCAATCTCAAAGACAGATTTTTATGTCTGTGCACGAACTGAGAGAAGTTTTGTGTGTGTTTCAGATAAAAAAAAAAAAAAAAAGTGATGTGGACCTTACGGCTAGCTGCGGTGTGTCCACTCGTTTGTGTAAAGTTGAGCTCGCTCACTAAAGGGACAGGAAACAAAGCGTTTGATTTCGGAAGTGAAATGCAGTCATGAGTTGAAGCACGTTCCTCCGCTGAAAGGGGAAGGTGAACATTTCGAATGTGATTGTGTAGCGAAGTCCATGTCTACTTCCAGCCTTGGTGGGCCAAGCTAAATTTTCATCGCTGAAGGTCCGGGCCAGTTTGCCTCTGGAGGATCAAAAAATATGAATAGCCTGCGACTCATGTATTAAAGCCAAAAGCTCCGGATTTTCACTCACGGTGTCAACAGCGCATCAACTCTTAAATTCACTTTCTCCGTATTTCTAACATTTGATGTTCTGCCCCGCTTATTGTCAATCCAGTGAAAAATTCAAGTATTGCAACGGTTGTCCCGCAGAGCCTGCAGCCGTATTTGTACGAAATCAAGTTTATTGTTACGAGTTGTACGCGCCTCCCTCTTCTTCGTTCTCTGACTAATTATTGCAAATATTACCGAAGAGCCAAAAGAAGACACTGGAGAAGTGGCCACGAAAGATGTTCGTAAGTTAGAACGTATTCATGTTGTACTTTTGCGGTCGATTTTGGTCGAAAGGATTCTCTGTCGTCACACAAAACAACCTGCGCTGTTTTACCCCCC